GCAGCTGCTTCTCTTTGCTGTTCGAGGGCCTCCCTTTGCTGCTCACGTTCAATCTTGGCCAGCTCTAGTTTGAGTTTCATCGTTGCCAAATCAGTTTTATCTGCAATATAGTAAGTTTCATGAGTTTCAGAGTCTATCTTACCTTGCTCTAAGAAATGATCCAGTAACAGGTTGTGTATTTCACTCTTGTTGGCTTGGTAGGAAACTGTTAGTTGATACTCATGTGCAAGAGTTTGTAATTCAGCCCTCTTGGCATGACTTAAAGTCCCAATTGCACCTGCTGGATCTGCACGGAAAGCTTGGAGACGAAACATGGTGAAATTAGCAAATAAATGTACAACGAATTTACCGTTATGATATAGTGAATGTCAGAAACAGGACAACGTGGCAACTGGTACCTATCCTGTGGAATCTTTAACAATTAAAGTTAAGTACAAGATGTTAAATGATTAATTTAAATCAAGGTCGCAGGAAATCTTGTACCCGGTACTCATGTAAGAGGTTAAGGGCAAGAAAATCCTACTAAACAAGTGAAACTGAGTTTCTAAAACAAATGAAACAGTTAATTGCCTCAAAAGTAAAATTGGTAGTCCAAGGATGTAGGCATACCTTGCCGAGTCTCTATTGGACATAAGCAAGTTTTCCCACTGAAATTAATATGATACTTACAGAATTAGCGAACTTTTGTGCTCTGAAAAAGAAAGCTAATTCCCTACCAATATGTATGTATCATCATCTCTGACTGACATGTAGGGGTGCGAGGTGTTAACTGGTGACGAGAACTGCTGCTGAGGTCCCAATTCAGCAACTAAAGTTCGTGCTAGAGGAACTATGGCCCTCTTTATCCTCCTACAGTCAGATTGCAGAAGATTAGGTGCACTTGACCCGGGGGCAGACCACAGTACCAGGGTACCAATATGATGATCTGTCGAAAATATGAGAAATATCCAAGGGACAAAAGATGGTAAACACGAGTAATAACACGGAGGGAGAGATGACCAATTAAGAGTATGACTGAGGCCTACAGTCACCACGTAATCCAAAGTTGTCTCACCTTCACCATATGCTACTCTCGTAATGCACAATACACACAGCACCATATAAAAATTAAATTGAATATGAAAAGTAGTAAAAGCTACGTTACCAAAGCCAAATACGCTTACCATAAATTACTACTTGGCACCAGTACCTGAGTGAAGCTCCTAGGGCAGGCCCCCACTTTATGTGACGGTAACGCGTTGGTGTTCGGCTGTTTCAAAAGCTAGGGGTATGGCCTCGTCACATAAAGAAAAAAAAAAGAAAAAAGCTGGAACTTTCGTCTGTGGTAAGGTAATGGGAAGACACACAAAACACAAGTAAATTTAACGATGAAATTTTAATTACGTTAGAAAAGCAAGACATGAATAAAATTGGGCATAAAAAATGTAACAGATAAATCAATCAAACAAAATAATAAGAATAATCACTGGCAAATGAAAAGTTACGTTAAGACAAGTGAATAATAGCAAAGTAAATTATAGCAAAGGAAATAATGATGCAGGAATATTGGCTTCAAGCTGCCACCTCCCTTAGTACACGTAAGCCAAGGCTTAGTCTACCAATGAGACGTGTTAACTTGTGTGGAGCACGATATATTCTGCCTTCCCTAGGTCGCGGTGGCCAAGACATCAGCTTGTGTGGTGGGTGGTGGGGCAGGTGCGACGGGCACCAGCCAATCAGCGACATGCAGGCGATGGACAAGCAGTTTGCTGGTTCACGGTGGCGGAGGCGAGCAGGTGTGCCGGTGTTGGATACGTTTTGCACTCTGGGCAAAACTTGTTGTTGTACTTGTTGGATATATCTTCTATATTAGTTGTTACTGGGACGTAGTTTGGAGGGAAGAGCAGGCTCAATCTCTCTTGAAAGAGATTATCGTCACAATATATATATATATATATATATATATATATATATATATATATATATATATATATATATATATATATATATATATATATATATATATATATATATATATATATAAGCAGGTAGGGTCCTTAAGGCTGATTTGGCTCATAATCTATAGAACACAAAATACCTGCGGGTACACCCACACTTTTAACTTGTAATTTGACATTTATATGATAAAACAGGTCTATGACTGCCAGCACTGGTAAGGTTCATGATCTAGGATCTGAACTATACACTCTCTAGCCTAGTCTTAGGAATATCTGTGCTGGTGCACACAACGTTTAATTATCCAAGAGTATATGAAAATTTGCATAAAAAATCGTATGCAATCAAATAAACTAGCTTGAGAAATAAAGATTAATGGATAAGGCCATTAAAGGTATGATAGGTTATAGTAAAGAATTATATTCACAAGATATAAATATTCAGCAATGTAAACTCAGTTACAGCATGAGTTGGTCAGAACTTGCTGATGATGAAGCGTTGCCTCGCTATCTAACGACTCAATTTATATATGGATGTTTTAATGTTATAAATCATGTTAATTGGCCAACCAATGTTCTAAAACAATTAATAACTTATCCTGAATTGAGAACCGAAGCCAATCTGGCAGTAGTCAGATGAGGTCTCTTCTGCTGAGACCAGGCTCTATATTTTAATGATGAATATGCAGCTTGATGATGATTTGGATGTCACAGCATGCTGGAAAGGATTCTAGTTGCTTTCTAACATTTGGAGTTTTTATATTTTAATTATTTTCTTCCACAGACGTGGCCAAACATTAACAATGCTAACCAGCTTACATACATTTTCTTCTGTCCTCCATGGACAGGGTTAGAGATTTATTAAACATATAGTTCAGGGATTTATTGAACAATCAGCCACAGAAGGTAATTGTAGCGTTTTAAAATGCTAGGCTATGCTACATACGTAAATACATAAATACACAGATTTACGTATGCCCTACATAAAGTGTTCGATGTGTCTTTTACAAAGTGTCATTAACGTGCATTTACAAAGGTGAAATGGAATTTTGATCAGCTTCCACATATACTTTATACACATACATATACACACACACATATACATCCCGGAACTGAGAGGAATAAGTTACGAGGAAAGGTTGAGGGAGCTGAACCTCATAACCCTGGAAAACAGAAGAGTAAGGGGAGACATGATAACCACCTACAAAATTCTCAGGGGAATTGACAGGGTGGACATAGACAAACTCTTTAGCATGGGTGGAACACGAACAAGGGTACACAGGTGGAAACTTAGTACCCAGATGAGCCACAGAGACGTTAGAAAGATTTTTTTCAGTGTCAGGGTAGTTAACAAATGGAATGCATTAAGTAGTGTTGTGGTGAAGGCAGACTCCATACACAGTTTCAAATATAGATATGATAGAGCCCAATAGGCTCCGGAATTTGTACACCAGTTGACTAACAGTTGACAGGCGGGACCGAAGAGCCAGAGCTAAACCTCCGCAAACGGAACTAGGTGAGTACATATATACATACATATATACACACATGTATACACATTCATTTGTCTCTTTTACTCTGACAGGGTGAGATAACTGATAAAGAAACTAGTGTGTAATTAAGCATTTAATCACTGTTTGATTAATATGGAGTGCACGTTGTTACGTCTCACTTGGTAGATGAGGTGGTTGTAGGGCCTCACTAGCCGGTGGTCCTCAACGCTCTTGACTTTGGATATATGTACCAGGAATTCCTCTCTCTTCTCAGCCTACTATGCAAGGCCCGATTTGCCTAATAAGCCAAGTTTTCCTGAATTAATATATTTTCTCTAAATTTTTTCTTATGAAATGATAAAGCTACCCATTTCATAATGTATGAGGTCAATTTTTGTTCATTGAGTTAAAATTAACGTAGATATATGACCGAACCTAACCAACCCTACCTAACCTAACCTATCTCTATAGGTTAGGTTGGGTTATGTAGCCGAAAAAGTTATGTTAGGTTAGGTTAGGTAGGTTAGGTAGTCGAAAAACAATTAATTCATGAAAACTTGGCTTATTAGGCAAATCGGGCCTTGCATAGTAGGCTGAGAAGTGAGTTCTGGCTACTAGGTACGACATATATATATATATATATATATGGTCTCTCCCAGTATTCAGGGAGCTCTCACTGAAGATTATCAATAGTGTGTGTGTAAATATCTTGCTGAAAAAGTCTGCAGCCCTACACACGAGTGCACTCCAGGATGTAAACACGAGGCCGCCAGGTACTCCACGATTCTGGGCGCTTCTGCCCCACCGGCGTCAGTCAAGGTGCCGGCAATGTTCATTGCTCGATTATATTCATTATTAAGACTGACTTTTGTGATAAAGTTATATCACAAGATGATTACTTTGTGGATTTAAAGATTATTAACAGTACTTCATAGTTCCTCTTGTACTTTATTAACGATTATGAAATTACATCACTGGAAGCTATAACTTTGGTTCCAGCAATAAATTTTCATTACCTGGAAGCTTTCAGATTCTTGTGATCCCATCTACAATATTATATAGGCATTATGCCCAATGGTGCACTTGACAAATGATCATGAAGGATGCTGAAGTAGGAATAATAAATATGATCAAGAGATCTTGAATTTGATACGTTTCTGGTATATAGATATTATATGGAATAATACAGTTCTTAGATAATAATAATATTAACATGATCAGTGGAATTTTCCACATGTTGGTTTATATAAAAGAGGATTTATTATATTTGTGTTTACGGAATTCGGGGATTAGTGCGTATGGATATACTTTATGTGTGTTAAATGTGTATTGGTTTACTGCAAACGGGAATACTTTGTTTGGGTTGAATGTGCATTGGTTTACTACACATGGGTATACTGTGTATGGGTTTACTGCATGTGGGTTTATGACATGTGTTTTCTGCATGTGGGTATACTGCGTGTTGGTTTACTGCGTGTAGCTATATTACATGTGAGTTTACTGCGTGTGTGATATACTGCGTCAGGATTTACTGCGTGTGAGTTTACTGTGTGTAGGAATAATACGTGAGGGTTTACTGCGTGTGGGGAATACTGCGTGTGGGGTTACTGCGTGTGGGGTTAATGCGTGTGGGGTTACTGCGTGTGGGGTTACTGCGTGTGGGGTTAATGCGTGTGGGGTTACTGCATGTGGGGTTACTGCATGTGGGGTTACTGCGTGTGGGGTTACTGCGTGTGGGGTTACTGCGTGTGGGGTTACTGCATGTGGGGTTACTGCATGTGGGGTTACTGCGTGTGGGGTTACTGCGTGTGGGGTTACTGCGTGTGGGGTTACTGCGTGTGGGGTTACTGCATGTGGGGTTACTGCGTGTGGGGTTACTGCGCGTGGGGTTACTGCATGTGGGGTTACTGCATGTGGGGTTACTGCGTGTGGGGTTACTGCGTGTGGGGTTACTGCGTGTGGGGTTAATGCGTGTGGGGTTACTGCATGTGGGGTTACTGCATGTGGGGTTACTGCGTGTGGGGTTACTGCGTGTGGGGTTACTGCGTGTGGGGTTACTGCGTGTGGGGTTACTGCGTGTGGGGTTACTGCGTGTGGGGTTACTGCATGTGGGGTTACTGCGTGTGGGGTTACTGCGTGTGGGGTTACTGCATGTGGGGTTACTGCGTGTGGGGTTAATGCATGTGGGGTTACTGCATGTGGGGTTACTGCGTGTGGGGTTAATGCGTGTGGGGTTACTGCGTGTGGGGTTACTGCGTGTGGGGTTACTGCGTGTGAGGTTACTGCGTGTGGGGTTACTGCGTGTGGGGTTACTGCGTGTGGGGTTACTGCGTGTGGGATTACTGCGTGTGAGGTTACTGCGTGTGGGGTTACTGCGTGTGGGGTTACTGCGTGTGGGGTTACTGCGTGTGGGGTTACTGCGTGTGGGGTTACTGCGTGTGGGGTTACTGCGTGTGGGGTTAACCATTTATTCATTCGATTTTTTTGGCACTTTAGTGCTGAAATTGATTTTAAGGAGGAAATTCTTCACCTTACATGCTATTGCTGACTCTCACAGGATGGGTACGAGGGTCTCCACCAGTCACGGGATGAGTATGCAGTCCTACACTGATCACCATATACGTACTGGGCCCTTAACTGCCCACAAAAAAGGGTATTAGGCCCTTATCTGCTCACAAAAAGGGTCACTGGGCCCATAACTAACCCGTCATCTTGAATAGCACGTCGCGTTTTGAGTTATAAATCCCACTAAGGCTAAAAACTGGTGTACAATAAATCATAGCGGCTCACAGAATTTATGTGATGTCCCATTTTCTACTCGTTGGTCCTCTGTTAGGTTAGGGTAGGTTAAGTTAGGTTTTCCTAGACCTATCTTTAGATTTTCCAGCCTCGATTAATTTTCTCATCTCTCATGAAGCGAGACCGTCGCTCTACCGTCCAGCCCAAGTGGTTGCGGTTGTGGTTGTGGTTGGGGGGAAAATTGGAGCTGCATAATATAATATTCTCTGTTTATGACCCCAATAAAGCAGGAAATGTTGTTGAGTCAAGCCCAGCGTGTCAACGAATGAGGTCGTTAAGGGTGAGTGACGCTCGCAGAAGAACTACCAGACTGAGAATAACGACCTATTACTCCCAAACCTTACATCCCCCATCCCCCAAAATAAATATTAAAGAACAGCCCTTGGTGAGAATATATGAATATTTCACTGTGTTCTACTTGACGTCTTAAGGCTTAATTTGTAGTCTACAACTGAATTTTGTTTTTGCATTTTCAGCATGAGTATTTATTTGAAAAGAGGCAGAATTATTGTGTCGATTTACGAAGGTTATTTCACATTCAACATGACTACAGACCAGGTCTCAACAGTTCGAGGCATTTCCACAACAAATGGAATGCGTTAGAGTTCGTTGATTCCACTCTCAGTACAGGAATAAGGTCACCAAATGGACCCCCTCTAATCTTACGAGAAACGTAGCTGGGTTGAGTCAAATTTGCATACCTGTGTACTAACGTGAAGCAGCACAGTATGTAGAGTGACCACGCTCTGAAATGAGGGCTTGGTGGTGTATGAATACCAGCATATACGTACACACTTATATAGCTAAATACACTGTTGCATTTTTAATTGTATTCGTGTAGTTATACATTCACATACATACCACAGAGCAAAACAAAGCAGAAAAAATACTCGAGCTTATATTAAATATAATGTATGCTCCCCTCGTTCATGCAGGTCGGTGTTCAGTCCCTGGCCGTCCTAATGGTTGGACTCCATTCCTTTCCCCCGTCCCATCCCAAATCCTTATCTAAACCCCTTCCAAGTGCGATATGGTCGTAATTGGTGCTTTCCCCCTAATAATTCTCTCCCTCCCTCCCCTAGTATCGAGCCAGAGAATTTTCCCTATGAACGAGTCAAGGGAGTTGCCCTGGTAACAGGATTGGGGAAATTTCCCTATCAATGAGACGGAGGAGTTTCCCTTGCAATGTGATTGGGCAGTTCCCTAGCAACCAGACAGGGTGAAGTTTCCGTAGAAAATAAACAGTGGTTTTCCAATGACAGTGTCTACCCGTACGGATGGTCGACCAGAACGCGGGCTCCGGCAATAATACCCACATTTATATTAAGCGCATATAATGGATGCTGCATCTTACCTCACCAAGGAGAGTCCGTCAGCATCACCCTAAGATATTCTTCTTTATGAAGATGGTAATTCTGAACTCTAACATAAGGGAGGCGAGCAGCATTATCTTCGTATGTTGTGATGATAAATGTATACATTAAATATCATTTGTCCTGGAACAAAGAGGCGGAAGAGGAGACTGGAGGATGCTTGCCCTAGGAGAGGAGATGTGTCTGGGGCTGCTACTCTGTGGATGCTGGGCCGCCACCACCACTCTCACAAATACGACATTCCTTGCGCGTATGTATTTCCTGCTGTGTATTGCACACGATGTAAAACGTATTCCATACACAGACACACACACAATCAAACATACATACATTCAAACTCAATTACACATTCATACATACACACACACACACACACACACACACACACACACACACACACACACACACACACACACACACACACACACACACACACACACAAAGGAAAGGCTAAAGGAGCTGAACCTCACATCCCTGGAAAACAGAAGAGTAAGGGAAGACATGATAACCACCTACAAAATTCTCAGGGGAATTGACAGGGTGGACAAAGACAAACTCTTCAGCACGGGTGGGACACGAACAAGGGGACACAGGTGGAAACTTAGTACCAAGATGAGCCACAGAGACGTTAGAAAGAATTTTTTCAGTGTCAGAGTAGTTAATAAATGGAATGCACTAGGAAGTGATGTGGTGGAGGCTGACTCCATACACAGTTTCAAATGTAGGTATGATAGAGCCCAGTAGGCTCAGGAATCTGTACACCAGTTGATTGACAGTTGAGAGGCGGGACCAAAGAGCCAAAGCTCAACCCCCGCAAGCACAATTAGGTGAGTACACACACACACACACACACACACACACACACACACACACACACACACACACAAACACACACACACACACACATGGAGGCTGACTCCATACACAGTTTCAAGTGTAGATATGATAGAGCCCCATAGGCTCAGGAAACTGTACACCTGTTTATTGACGGTTGAGAGGCGGGACCAAAGAGCCAGAGCTCAACCCCCGCAAGCAAAATTAGGTGAGTACACACACACACACATACACACACACACACACACACACACACACACACACACACACACACACACACACACACACACACACACACACACACACACACACACACACACTTCTGGAATATGTAAATGATCTCCAGGAGGGTATAGATTCATTTCTCTCAATGTTTGCAGACGATGCCAAAATTAGGAGAAGGATAAAGAAGGAGGAGGACTGCTTGAGGCTTCAAGAAGACCTAGACAAGCTGAAGGAATTGTCAAACAAATGGTTGTTAGAGTTTAACCCAACCGAATGTAATGTAATGAAGATAGGTGTATGGAGCAGGAGGCCAGATACAAGGTATCATCTGGGAGAGGAAATTCTTCAGGAGTCAGAGAAGGAAAAAGACTTGGGGGTTGATATCACGCCAGACCTGTCTCCTGCAGCACATATCAAGAGGATAACATCAGCGGCATATGCCAGGCTGGCCAACATACGAACGGCATTCAGAAACTTGTGTAAAGAATAATTCAGAACTTTGTATACCACATATGTCAGGCCAATCCTAGAGTATGAAGCCCCAGCATGGAGTCCATATCTAGTCAAGGATAAGACTAAACTGGAAAAGGTTCAAAGGTTTGCCACCAGACTAGTACCCGAGCTGAGAGGTATGAGCTACGAGGAGAGACTACGGGAATTAAACCTCACTTCGCTGGAAGACAGAAGAGTTAGGGGGACATGATCACCACATTCTAGATTCTGAAGGGAATTGATAGGGTTGATAAAGACAGGCTATTTAACACAAGAGGCACACGCACAAGGGGACACAGGTGGAAACTGAGTGCCCAAATGAGCCACAGAGATATTAGAAAGAACTTTTTTAGTGTCAGAGTGGTTAACAAATGGAATGCATTAGGAAGCAATGTGGTGGAGGCTGACTTCATACACAGTTTCAAGTGTAGATATGATAGAGCCCAATAAGCTCAGGAACCTGTACACCTGTTGATTGATGGTTGAGAGGCGGGACCAAAGAGCCAGAGCTCAACCCCCGCAAGCACAACTAGGTGAGTACACACACACACGCGGCAAGCCTATCTCCCGAGACCCACATCAAAAGAATAACATCAGCGGCCTATGCGAGGCTGGCTAACATCAGAACTGCTTTCAGATACCTGTGTAAGGAGTCTTTTAGAACCTTGTAAACCACATATGTAAGGTAAATCCTGGAGTATGCAGCCCCAGCATGGAGCCCGTATCTAGTCAAATACAAGACGAAACTGGAAAATGTTTATAGGTATGCCAATAGGCTAGTCCCAGAACTAAGAGGCATGAGTTATGAGGACATACTACGTGAACTACACTTCACGTCGCTGGAAGACAGAAGAGCTAGGGAAGACATGATCACCACATACAAAATTCTCCAGGAAATTGACGGGATGAACAAGGATGGATTATTTAACACGGGTGGCACACGCACAAGGGGACATAAGTGGAGTACCCAAATGAACCACAGAGACATTAGAAAGAACTTTTTCATTGTCAGAGTACACACACACACACACACACACACACTCACACACACACACACACATATAAACACACACACACACACAAACATACACACACATATAAACACACACACACACACATGTCTAGCGGGATGGTAAGACAACAGAACAAAGTTGGAGGAGAGGAACAGGACGAGTCACACATGGAGATGATTGCTAAGGCAAGATTGGAAATCAGTGGGGAAGTGAAAGACACGAGGGAAGCTATATGTAACCTGGAGATAGAACTAAGTGCAGCACAAGAGGAGATAAAAAGCCTAAAAACAGGCCCTCTTCAGACCCTGGCCCCCGCAACCAACCCTTAGGTACCAGGAGAGGTAGCAATGACAGGGACCCCTACGATTGGTGCAACCTTTGCTGAAATACTGAAGAGCCCCGATGCCATGTCCACAGTCAAGGAAGTTGTAATGAAGGCAGTAACCTCACAGGAGGCAGCTAGATGCACAAGCCAGCTAATGGAAAGGAAAAGAGCTCCAGTAGTGATAGGTATTAAGGAACAAGGGGTTCCACGAGGGAAGAATGGAGGACTAAGGGCAAGGTGGCAGTGTCAGGGTTACTAAAAGTGATAGGAATGGAAGGGGCTGAATGAGACAGAACAGGTTCTACCGGACTGGCCAGTGCAGCAGAGACAAAAAGAGATTGATCAAGGTAGTATTCAGGAGCGAGGCCATCAAAGAGGACATCCTAGTCACGAGGAGCAATCTGAA